GCCGGGGAATGCTGTTTTCTTTTTTCATTAACCAGCTAGGTAAATATTCCTTAGCTCTGGTGGCCAACTGCCGCTGCGTTCGCCCTATCTACTTGCATCCGTAAGTGCATGTAAATTCATAAATACAGTTTGAAGTGGCGTGCAACGGCATGGCATCCTTCGCATGAGGAACTGGTAAAGGCTTCGTCGGATTGCAAATTATCAGATCGGCAGCATAGTACGTCCTTTCAATGGCATTGAGAAGGCGTCTTTTGATGGTGTTCAGTATGTTATCGCCCTTAAATGGTAAGGATATGAAAACGGGCTTTTTGGTTCTAATTGCTGAGTCAATTTAGGTCTTAGAGGTTTACTGTTTACAACGCGCTTTCTGTCTGTATTAAAAAAGTCTCGTTGTGCTGAAGTTTTGCAGGGGCAAAATGGGGTTATATCGGCTGTACTGTGGCTTTAAACACGGAAGTTATATGGACTTACAACCTTCTTTTTACTAGATGCTCACTCCCATTGTCAGCTGACGGAGGTTATTTTTTAGCGTAGCTATTTAAATCACTGTAATTTGTTAATGGGGGGAGGGGAGGGGGGCAGATTTGCTTAATTCAGTTGACCCAATTGTGAAAACTTAGTGACCTCGTAGGGAGTCAAACCCACACAGCAGGAAAGGCTTTTGCGCAGCCAACGCTCTACGATTGAGCTACACGGCTCACCGTGCGCCGTTAATTAAATCACGCATGGGGTCGATTTTATCCGCCCAACTTACCGCTTGTATGGAATTCACTATTAGAGCACAGCAAGCTAACTGCCCAGGCAGGATTTACTAAACAACCATCTAGAATCCACCAGAATGACTACTAGGCTCATTTAATTGGTAAATGGGCCTGCAATTCCGACTATCCATTATCTGAGACGGGTATATCCGGCCAGCAGTGCCTACTATAAATTCCAAAAGAGTAGGCAGCACGAGCTCCTTCTCGTGGACTCTCAGTGCTACATACTTCCGTCTTGGAGTTTAGGAATAATTTTCGGAAATAGTATCTGTCCAGTTCGACTATGGTTCACATTAATTTGGTCTCATTGCAGCTGATGAGACTTGGCAGCCATACCGCAATCGTACAGCATCATATTCTCGTGGATTTAGCCTTTTGCTATTCTGGGGCTGATTACGCCTACTTGCCGTTTCACACACCAATTTATCCCGTGAATGGTACTTATTTTCTTTCTGTGCTGTCTTTAAAACTGTTTCATTGTATCATTGGTATCCTCTGATTGAAGAATAGTAACTGTTTTTAGGCAAAGTCACTAATCCTCAACATCAGCTTTGATCCTTCTGCGCTAGAGGTTGACCCGCCGGCCGTGCTAAATTTTGTCCTCAACGATTTCGGAATCAATCTGCAGCTAATTCTGAACCAGTTTGAAAAGGTCACACAGAAACTGAATGAAACTGAAATGGACATCCTACTCAAAGTGCTTGAATTCGTTGATGTGCAGACCATACTGAAGCCGATGAGGCGTTTTTGGCAGCAACTTGACGTGCAGATTGACAGTATGAGTACTACTGCACAGACAACAGTGACATCCATAGAAAATGGCCTAACCACTGCAAAGCCCCTCCTCCTGTTGGCCATTTATCTGCCAGCAGTGATATTTGTCGGCCTGCTCGCGACGGCCATAGTCCTCTTCGTTCTCTACCTCTTCGAGGCCCTCGAAAGCAACCTCTTCTTGACGGAGCCTCCGACCAATCACCAAGGTGAATGAATTGGTGGAATTCGCTCTCTGTTTATCACTCTCTAATCGCTTCCTATTACCCAAATCAGTATCAGCTTATTGAGGGAAAGATAAGCGAATGCCTTTGAACTCCTCACTGGCAACAAGCTGATAGGAAATATATGGATACAAAGAAAAATTGAAAACAGTACGTCAATTACGTGCTGGCGGGTGAAAACACAGCGTTCGCTGGCTAATCGATATAGTAATAAAACATGGCTACTCGATTATTGCTAGTAGCGTAATTTAATTTAATGTTTTTGTATTTCTGTCCCCTGGTTAGCAGGTGACTGGGAAATGATGTGTTTGGTGCATGTCCAGTTTGCTTTTAAATGCTAGGCTTATGCTAGTAGATTTACTCTGTGTTTTCGTACGGTGACTTCACTACGAGAAAAAGAATTCAGTAAGTTATGCATTTTGTGCATGGGCTCCCTTGTCGACTGCTAGTCCTTAAAGGGCAACTTGAACAATTATTTGACTTGAGCATTTTTTTCTGCCCATTCTACGTGCATAATGGTGATCTAATCCTCAGACTTGATATCTGCCTTGGCCAAGCCCGCTCCGTGTTGGTGTACTGTTATTAATATATCACTGACGGCTCTCGAAAGCAGTGCCTGCGCTCCAAGGTCCGGTGCATCTTCCTTGACCTTTGTCTCGGTTTCTTAATATTTTTGTCCATATAGCATAATATTTAATAAACTTGACCTCAGTCCTCAAGAAATCGGAT